ATGATTTTTTAACACTCCGTAACTTTCGCTTCTTTGAGGTACAAACGAAATAACCTGTAGTACAATCGGGTACAAACTAGAGCTCGGAAAAAGAAACGGATACCCGGGTATTCGGGTACCCGCCCGTTCGCCCGTTACCCGTTGTATACGGATCTGGACCGGTTCCGCGGGTACCCGGGTAATTCGGGTAGCGGGTACCCGTATCGATTCGGGTACCCGCTACCCGTGTCAATACGGGTACTTATTATACCCGCGTCAGTACGGGTACCCGTATCGAGGCGGGTATAACAGCGTATGCCACAAATATCTAGCCAAACTTCATATAATATTTTTTTCTTATTTTCACTTGTAGAATATGCTCCCGCAGTTTATCGGGTAAAACCCAAGGCGCTCTGTATAAAATAATGATAGTATTATATCATATATAATTATATTACTGGTTTTAAAAAGATATATATGCATGTAAAATAAGAAAATATATAAAATTACACGTAAAGCAATTTATAGAAATTTCAAATATAATTACACACATATAGCTATTTATCCACATAATGTGTAACGCATATTTAACCTTCCGTATACGTGAGTCTACGGCGTCCGAGCCAAAATAATATCTGCTCGTAACTGTAAAACTGGCAAGCCTGCCTCCATTTCTAAAAAAGCAAGTGAGAAAAGGGACTCAAGAGGGACCCAGAGCTGTTACGAAAGATCAATATATCGCCGAATACCGAGCAAGTTAAGTCTCGCACGGACGTCTCAGACCCATGTATGCACTAGACGTAATATCTTTTTTATAAGTAATAATTTTGCTAATATTATTGAAAGTTCATTAAAAAGCAAATATTAAATAAACAAATGGTTATCAAAAAATTATAAAATTGTCAACTACAATGTAGACAGATGTTTTATAAATTTTTTCAGATTTTTTAAAATACTTTAAGGTAGGGAGCGTTGAACATGACAGACTCACGTATGCACTAGAAGGTATCGAAAAAACGAAGGGTTAATATAAAAGCATTCTTTCATATATTTAATATATTTTTGAAGCGTGTGAGAATTTATATTTTATTACTTTGCGTATACGCGTCTCCGTGTAATACGCCGCGCAGATATTTGTGGCATACGCTGTTATACCCGCCTCGATACGGGTACCCGTACTGACGCGGGTATAACAAGTACCCGTATTGACACGGGTAGCGGGTACCCGAATCGATACGGGTACCCGCTACCCGAATTACCCGGGTACCCGCGGAACCGGTCCAGATCCGTATACAACGGGTAACGGGCGAACGGGCGGGTACCCGGATACCCGGGTATTCCGAGCTCTAGTACAAACCGAGCGTAATTGAATGCACATACGAAAAAATTTTTTTCATGAAAGTCGGGTGCTAAGTTCACATAGGTTTAAGCATGACTGTATCTATTATTAAAATTTCATTTACATGAGATCTTGATAATGTTTATCGATTCAGATTCATAGAGATGATGGAATCTACAGTGGCGTTGTTCCTCTTTTTCGAAATTGGATTAGGACTTTTATTGCATACTTCCTCATGCGTAATGGTGAGCATAATAATGTAAAATTGAAACTTAAGTTTAAACAGCAATATAATATAAATATATTATATTTTTATTATTAATTATTGCTGAAAATGTTTTCAAGCTTAATGATTTTTTGCAGATTATAGTTCGAACCGGATCGTCTGAAATTATGCGATACGTGGCTCTTGGTATAATGCAAAGTTGTCGATTATTTTTCAACAATTGGGCCGGGCAAGAAGTGACCGATCATAGCGTTCAAGTTTCAATAGCAGCGTAAGATAAAGTTATTCAGAATTTACAAGAAATATTCTTTCGTGATATATCTTTTTACAGCTATAACGGAATGTGGTACAATGCGTCCATAAAGGTGCAAAAGTTATTGTTGTTTCTAATCGCGCGGGGCCAGAAAGCCTCCCAAGTAACAATCGCCAAGTTATATGTCATCAATCTGAACAATTTCAGTAAGGTATGGACATAAAAATATTGCAATAATGTAGATAAACATTAGCAGCATATCCGTGCATTTTACTAATGAAAAAAAATATTGTGTAAATAATAAATATCGTTTTAAGGTAATGAAAACATCAGTTTCCTATTGCACGGTAATGATCTCGTTGCGCGAATCGTCAAGAGATATATAAATTTCTGAGAAATTTTCCACTTGCATATGCTTTCTAGTTTTTCGTATGTCAAGAACTCAGGTGTTAATGTACCTAATATGTATATATGTATATATATATATATATATATATAGTAAATAGCATTTTCTAATCTTATTCTATTCGTTGCGCGATGGTTTAACTTTACTTCTATTCGAATTTCGCCTATTCCAAGCGATTTCACACTCTGTTCCCCGGCGGTGTAAACATTACTTTGAACGCTTTCATCTAAGTCAAAAAAACGTTGTTTACTATTACACATATAACTGGTAGCTCCACTGTCCAAACACCAAACGCTCGATTTAGGCATTTCCGCATTGCACGATATCGCGGGTAACGCATCGTCAGTCTTATAACCTCTTGTCTTTGATCTACAATCGCGACTTTGATGACTAAACTTATCACACTTGAAACATTTTCCGAAAAACTTATGCGGTTTATGTTCATTAGGCTTGCCTTTTTTTGAAGGTTCCGCACTTTGGTTAGCTTTATCCTTGGTGACTAACGCGTTATTATTTGCATCTTTATGTGTTGCTTTGTCGCTTTACCGCGCCTCTTCTATAAGTTTCGATTTAAGTGCGTCGATACACGGTAGGTATTTCATCACGAGATTCCATTGCGATACAGAAACTTTCATATTCTGTGGGTAATGACCCAAGCAGCATTATCGACAACAAATCTGGCGGAATGATAATTCCGGCTTCCTCCAATTGTTCGGCTTTCGTACGGCAGGTATAATAGGTATGGTAGGTATTTTCATCCTCTACAAGTTTTATATTAGTCATTTGTCGATTGCATTTATCAGAAAAGAGACAGAAGCGAAAAACGCGCCGAGTTCCGAACGCTTGGCTCGACACGCGCAACTTTCGGAGGCTCCCCTGGGCTCAATTTTTGACGAATTGGAACGAGTCACCGCTCATTTTCTTCGTTTTTTCAAGCCCTACAACTTTCTCAAGAGCGAAAAAGTGCTATCTATTAATCGAAACGAGATAAATGCAAAAAACCGCGAAAATTTTGGTTTCCCTTCCCCCCCTCAAAAAGCTCTGGGTCAAATAACACGACAACTCAGAAATAAGCTTTTCTAAACACCCCCTAACGCGTAAAAAGAAATAAAAAAGTTCGCATCACTTTCGACCTCAAATGTCTAACTTGACTGGCCTATTTATACTTAAAAAACAATCTATCTACGCAGTACGTAAAAACAAAGGAAGAAATGACGTCATCGACCATGACCGATCCGATGACGCATCGAACCTGTCGAGACAGGTTGTAAACAAATTTTTTTGTAGGAAAAGGGGGTGTTATCGCGTAGACTAAACATTTTCGCACTATTTTTTACAACGCAGTACGTAAAACAAAGGAAGAAATGATCTTTCAAGATTCAGGTGGAGCAAGAGAGAGAGAAAGAGAAAGAGAGAGAGAGAGAGAGAGAGAGAGAGAGAGAGAGAGAGAGAGAGAAAGATGAGCTTTATTAGCCTTCTCGGCTATTTTTACAACACATGATCTTACAATAATTCCTCTACACGAGGTACAATATATACTTTTAACTTCGGCTGCGTAACAAGTGAACTCGGTCAAAATATATCCGACAAAATATCTCGGACAAAATGTCTCACCGACAAAGTATCTCGCGACTAAATATCTCGCCACTAAATATCTCGCCGACATATATTTTCACAAATATCAACAATACCGTTGAACATATGGCGTTTATTGCAAAATTGGCGTTTATTACAACATAAATACAAGCAATCGATATAACAACGACTCCATTGGCTCACACAAATACCGTCATCAAAATTACAAAATAATATTGTTGGCAACTCCACACAGATATTTCAAAATGTTGGCAGCAATATAACCATGCACAACATTTTTTAAGCGCTCATCATAGTCAGCATATTTTTTTTACTTCTTATTTTGTACGTTACGACCGGCGCGACTTTGCGCGATTAACAACTCGGTAGTACTTTGCTCGCTTTTAAATACATTAATAAACTTGCTGATCGATGCATGACTAATACGCACACGTTCGTTGAAGGCTCGATGCCAGCCCTCTACCGCATTATTCGTTCTAGGTAAATCATTTACAACCGCAACGTAACAATTCCACATATAGATAGGAAAGCAAGGGGAACGGCGCCTTTTACGACGATCCAACGACCCAATCCAAGTGGTCTCGAAATACCCAAGGACGCTTTCAACAGACTCATTATCCTCAGAAAAATACTCTGATTGCGTGAGAGACTCAAAAGCATTAATAACATCGTCTACCGGCACGAAAACCAACGCGACCAACATTTTGATACTCAACGCGAAATTGCTGTCTTGCCCGTAATGCACCTGCAACCCAACCGATTGTACTTTCCTCCAGATACATTGCCCGAAATGAAAATGACAACCACTTATCTCAGCGTCCGGGAAGTATTGAACAAAAACCGATGCGAAGCTCGATTCGAAATCGATCATGAGCCGGGTTGGCTTCAAGCGAGATTCAACGCTTTTCAAAAACAATATAATTGTAGCATACGTGCTCTCATGCTTATTAGAAGCCAGGACGTACACAAGCGGATAAATTTTGCCGGACAGAAAGCCATGAATGGTGTACAATTGCGCAAATACAGTAGAAACACTTTTAAAGGTTCCATCACCCAACCACAACCTACAACGAGCCAGAATCTTCAAGTTTTCCGCAGTACTAAAAATTAGGCATCGATCTTTGCCACCGTTATCGTGCAGTAAGAATTTGTCACCCCTCAAAGTTTGCGTAAAAATATCTGGTGATATCAGGCTCTCGCGTGAATCGGGATTTGGCAACTGAGGACTAATTTTTGCTCGAGATCGCTGTACCGTCCGAGCAAGGGCAGAAGTAGACGGGAGTTCGGCAGCCGCACCGACAGACACATTCGAAGTAACAGCAGCAACGACGGCATTCGTGCTCTCATCCGACTGTATAGCTCGTTTCTTCATTTTTTCGATAGTTTTTCGCGCTTCTACTTTTGCCGCCTCAGCGGCATGATTATGCTCCGTTTCATCTAATATTTTTCTTATAATATGTCAAAATAGCTTTTGCAATCATAATACCACTACAAACAGCACAAAACACACAATAAAATGTCACGTACCGGACCGTGTCTTTGAGCTCGTATGAATTCGCCCACGGCAGTTACAGTTTTTATATTCTACGCAACGCCACGAAACTTTCGACGTAGTTTCACGAACGATGGAATACACGATGGTAAGAATATTGATGCAGGGAATTATAATATATATTTTCATAATTCTTAAAATAAAATGTGTGGATAGCTCAATATTTTATATTTTGTGAGATATTTTGTCGAAAATATTGTGTCGGAGAAATATTTCGACGTGAGATATTTTTCCCGAGTTATTTTGTCGAAGATATTTTGTCGGAGATATTTAGTCGTGCTACCTTAACTTCCGCTTAAATTGTTCGATCCTCTCGCATTGTCTTATATCTAACGGTAGGGCGTTGTACATATTCAGACCTTCATAGAATAGACTCTTTTGCCCGCCCCTCGTTCTACGAAACCGCACTACAATATTCTCAGCCTGTCTTGTTTGTCTATTACTCACATTACCTACTCTTTTTATTTTGGTACCTAATTGTCTACGCATTATTCCTCTTATTATTTTAAAAATAAAAATATATACATATAATAATCTCTGTTTTATATTCATAAACTGGAGTGCTTGCAGCATCTGGTCTACCTTAGTACGTCGATCACATTGAAGTACAACCCTCATAGCCCGATTTTGCGCAACTTGTAGCCTATTCAGTAATGTTTCACCC